TAGTTTTATGTACTTAACTACTTCTTTTTTTTTTTGCATGGCTCCCCCTATTTGAATTCATTTGTGATTGGAGAATGATGGCTCTTATGCTTATTCCACTGCATTTGATATGACAGTGCACGATAACCCTTTTACTGCTCTACTCAGAGAGCTAGGACTAAAACAAAATGTTTGTGTTTTGTCTCCCGGTTGATATTTTCATTTTAAAATTGTATAACTTCATTGTGCTTTTCACCATTGTCTGATGATACATCATTTGAAGGTAGACATATACACCTTTACCATCTTCATTAATGACATTAATATTATCTGAGACCTCATATTTCTTTCTATCCTCTCACTCACTCGCTTCACTGTCTGTTTGGCATATGCTGAATGCCCAGTTACCGGTTGTAAATGCAGAGTATCTATATAAACAGAGCAATGAAATACATTCTTCAAAATATCATATTTATGTTATTGCCTGAGCTTAATGACTGTGTCTGCTTTAGTTCTTTAGCCATCTTCCCTTACAGACTTTAGTGTCAGTCTGAGGTCAAGGTTGGGTAGCTACCTTTATACCAAATAAGAGAGTGTAATAGAAGCAGAATCCAAGTGTTGGAGCCTGTGATATTGCTTTTACTTTTCTCACTAAGGGCGAAAATCGTTTGATCTTCACCGCAGGGTTTTGCCTTAATATTTTAAGTAGATCTAGGTAGATGGGGGTAAAGAGACCACTATGCTGGACAGTCATTCATTTAGGCCCTGATATTGACACCCTTTGCATGCGGAGTTGTCCCTTTTTCTGCGAGTATCCTCATTGAAGAAAATGAGTGGAGTTAAGGAACTGTACAACGTGAGTCAGTATGGTAGAATCTGGCTCTGCGTTTGTTCTTGCATTCAGTGTTTAACATAAGGTGCTCAGCATTACTGTCCACGTTGTAATACTGTCCCTTTCAAATCCATAAGCATTTCAGTCCCCTTTGGAACTGAGAATGCTGAAGGGTCACCTTCACTATACTGCACAATACCCTCTCTGCCCTCAAATGTTCTAGGGCCAAATTCTGAGTCTTTATTCAACTTTTACTCGGCCCACTATGTCAGTGAATAAGGACTGAGGGCAAGAGTGTAACTAGCCCTCTACAGCTACACAGGGGAGTAAAGAGGCATAAAGGCCCCCCGACATGTGTTCTCTGGAGAAGTTCACCCAGATTGCTGCTCTGTGTGCAGGTGAGAGAGTGAGCCAAGCCCTGTGCGAGCTGCTCGTGTTTGTTTGTTTGTTTGTTTGAAATTTTGCAAGCGTTCACCAAAAAATATGTAACGTCAAAATACCATTTCATCCAGCTCAGGAATTACTCACCATGGAGAGAGACGCTAAGGCCCATGCAGCTGAGAAGTGCACAGTGGAAGTCGGCATTGCATATAAAGGTGGCTTTAAGCCACCCTTGTGGAACCTTTATCCTAGACCAGCTATGCACCACGCTGGTCCCCTGGCATAAGTTAGAGCAGCCTAAAGGTTGATCTAGTTTATTTGGACTACCAATTGTCCCAAAGAGCTGTTAAGGCAACTGAGGATTGTTGAGACACAGGGAAGCCCTGGCCATACCCGTTTTCTCATACTCTTGTCCCCTACATTGGCTGCAGGGAGAGTTGGGGCATATGAACCATTATGTTGGCTCTGTGCCAGGGGAGGAGACCCCTACATTGAGGTGATCCTCCCATGGCCAGTTAATCCAACTTTAGGGCTGCTTTGCACTGCTGCTGTGATTCAAAGTGGCCACAACAAAACTGCAGCCCTATGAGTTCTGAAAGTCTTCCTGCTTAGTTATTATCATATTTCAATACGCCATTTATAAATGTTTGGCCAGATCTTCAGCCACTGTATATCTGTGTAGCTGTATTGACTTCAACAGAGCTTTGTCATCCTACACCAGCTGAGGATCTGGCCCTTTATTTTTAAGCAATACTTTTATTAACAATTATATATTGTTACCTGTATTGAAGGGGCAGTTGAGAGCAGCATCTTTTACCAAGGGCACTGGAAGGAAAAGAGTTTGATACTTCAAGGGAAATTTCATCTTTAAACAGTAAAATTCTTCCTCAGCTTATTAAGCTAATATTAACCCAGGATGTGATTGAACCAATTATAACAGTCAGACATGTCAGTTTTCAGCAAGATGCCAGCAAGAGATTTGGAAATATAGATTTTAATAGCATAAAAATAAATTTCAAGTAGAATTCCCAATTTGTACTTAGTGAAAAGGGCATCTCACCACATGAACTCTTAGGATGCTGTGCTGAGCAACATTTCCTTTAAGAAGATTGTGCTCCCAAATTAACTTGTTCTGATGCTAAGCATAGCAGAAACAGTGCTGCTGCTAAGCAGAACAATTGCTTTTCCTTTGTAGTCTGCCTACTGGTTTGTTCAGTCCTGCTTTGTGTTCCAATCCTTGGCTGAGTCTGGGCCAGTGGTTCAGTAACTGTGAAGCTCTGTGTTTAGATCCTAGCCAAATCAGTGACACACAAAATAAGGGCAAGCAGTGAATCCTGAGTGTTCCCGGTCTGTGAAATCAGTTGTCGGAATAAACGAGCCAAAGTCCTGTATTTATTTTACTGTGTTATGCACCCAGTGCCTTTGATTCTGGGTATTTAATATATAATTTTCTCAAGCAACACACCACCTTCAATTAAATCCCCCACTGTGAATAGCAAAAACAGGTCCTTCTCTGTACCATTCCAGCCCACCATAAGAAAAACCTTGGCAGAAATAATCCATAGTCAAATGCAAAAAAAAGATGAGCAATTTTACGCATCTTCAAATTACAAAGTTGTGCTCAAGCTATTGAAGAGTTTGGCTGAAGGCGTAGTGGAAGGAGGATTTTAAATATGGACACAGAAATTCTCTAGTTCACCATGTAAGAAACAGCATAAGTATAAATGAGCCACTAAAGAATAGTGTCCAAATGTAATTATGTTCAACATTCTCAGAGGAGGGTAGGGGGATCATACCAAAAACTAGCACAGTGGCACTAAACATTAGAAAAGGGGATTTAAAATGAGGAGGAAGCTTATCAAAAAGGCAAATGGAGAAATGTAAATCCTTAGACTCAGCATGAAGGCTACCATGATAGAGTCAGAAAGGCATCCATGCCCCTAAGGAAGCAGGAAGACAAGAAATAAACAGTATGGTTAAAGGGCAAGTTACAAGAGGGTATATGAACTAAACAGGTATCATTTAAAAAGAAGTCCAGTCAGGTTTCCCCCGAATGGTGTACATGCATGACCATGCCTTTGCTGCTACTGCACACAGATGTGTGCCTGTTGCCTGGAGGATCTGTCTTCCACTAGATTTTTCCCTCGTCTGCCTCTGGTGGTACCAGTTGGGATGGGGGAACGGATACAAGGGCCCCCCACTTCCCCAGCTGCATCCATTGCTGCCAGTCTATAAGGAGGGGTGGCACCAGGGCTTCCCCTTCCTCCTTTTCTCTCCTTCCCTTTCCTTTTCTCCCTCCTTTTCCCTCTTTCTCTCCCTTTTATTTACCCTTCTGGGGGTGAAAATATACATGTATAAAATTAGAGTAAGATCTCTGGAATGATTTTTTGTTGCAAAACTTCGTAGTTAGCTATGAATTTGAATGCCTTGTAAATATTTGTTTTGTATTTTTAGGGTTTGTATTTTGGTTAATGAGAATTGTCCCTTTAAGAAAAGGGTGGGACCCTTTATTGTCACATGATTGAGAGACTGAGAGCAATGTGAAGAAGATTTTGCCTGCATGCAGAGATTGGAAGATCCTGCTCCAAAAACATAAAACATCAGAATTAGACTCAATAAACTTCTCTTTCCAGGAAGCAAGGCTCATTCTTAAAGATGCAACATTAGCACTTAGCAGAGGACTAACTCAGGGCATTCATAATGTGCTACAGAGCCTTTCATTTGTAGGTCACCAGTTTGACTCCAGAGTGACTCATCAGGGATTAAAAATTGTTCCCAAATGGATGCTCCAGTTCCAAGTCCCACAACATAAACCATCCCTGTGCTTTACACTAGATTGCAAGTTCTTTGGTGTAAAGAGTTTTTGGACAGTGCCTAGCACAAAAGAGCCCAGGTCGCAGGTGGATCTTCTAGTGCAATGGCTCTCACCTTTCCACATTACTGTACCCCTTTCAGGAGTCTGATTTGTCTTGTGTACCTCAAGTTTCACCTCACTTAAAAACCACTTGCTTACAAAATCAGACATAAAAATACAAAGTGTCACAGCCACTATTACTGAAACATTGCTCACTTTCTCATTTTTACCATATAACTATAAAATACATCAATTGGAATATCAATATTGTACTTACATTTTGGTGTATAGTACACAGAGCAGTATAAACAAGTCATTGTATGAAATTTTAGTTTGTACTGACTTCGCTGGTGCTTTTTATGTAGCCTGTTGTAAAACTAGGCAACTATCTAGATGAGTTGCTGTACCCCCTGGCAGACCTCTGCGTACCCCCAGGGGTACATGTACCCCTGGTTGAAAACCTCTGATCTCGTGAGTACTCCTGCAGCAGAAGCCAAAATTGCATTACTCATGAGAAATGTATGAGTTGGCAACACTGTAATCTCTCTCCCTCTCTCTGAGACAGGAGGAGTTCAGAAAACAGACTGTCAGAGAAAAACACAGTTCTCACTTTTTGTTTGGGAAATCACAGCTTCCACAAGACCAAAACCTGGATTTAATCTTTTTTCAAAAACGAAACCATATGTTTTTGGCCAATCTCCTGATTTTGGCGCCTTATTCATGATTTTTGAACTTGGTTGGCAATACCAAGCTTGGCCTTTTCCTTCATTCCCATGCAATACACTTGTTCCATGAGATTTTTTTCCATAAGAGGCAGCTTCCTCGAATAGGTTGCAAAATGCAAGTACTTGGAATTGACCCGTAGGTAACAAGTGGTGACATTCTCCCAGCACACTGTCATACTTACAGTTAAGCTGGCTCAAATGCACTGCCTATCGATGATATCACAATGTTTGAGTCTGACAAAAGCTTTGTTCCTCATACATTGCCAAAACTGATTCCAGTACATCTTGAAATAGTGTAGAGGAAATTCTGACCCCTGTAGCATTGCCAGCCTCAGTGAGACCCATGTCAGCCGGCTGCACGGGGATTGTATACACAAGTTAAAAACTTTTTTGGGAGCAGCTTTCAGCCCATGTGTATAGTTTTCAAATGTTCTCCCCTCATTTTGACCAGGTTGTTCCCTTTTCCCGGTGGAGCTCTACCTCTTTAAGTGAGCACTTTGCAGCACAGTATGTAAGTAGGGTCCTAACTGAATCCTGCCTCATTCACGGTGCACCTTACAAGATTGCATTCAGGGAGGTAGGGCTTTTCTGCTTCATTTGCTGTGCCACTGTACTGCACAATGAACAAAGCGGGATTTTTAAAGACCCGCCTCATTTAAGATAAAACTCACCTCTAAGCAGAGGGGCCAGCACAAGATCCATGCACCACATAAGCCCTTGCTATGTTTTACTGTGCCACATGTGTCATTTATAATGGCATATGTACCGCTTACTAAAAGGTGAATTCATTTACCAGTAGTAGTTGATGTGTACTTGTTCAGTGCTATAAAGATCTGAACATGCAGTATTTTTGAGGTAGTAATGGAATACTGTTCATTGTGATACTATACTTATTTTTGTTAACAGTTTATGCCGTTCATTGGTAGGCAATCATTAAAGTAATTTTTTTTACAGAAAAAAGGTAGCGACCATGCAGGCAGGTGCTGAAAGCAATGAACCAGGTGTATGTAATGTGACAGTTCCACTGCTTATAAATTTCCAGTATTGAAGCTAAAGTATAAACTACAGGCTGAAGAGGATGTAAAGGTCAATAGTTCAGTTATGCTCTAAAAGTTAAAAATGTGTCAAATCACCTGTTGGTACTGTGTCAAATCATGATTTGTTACTTTCATATAAAGCTTGAATATTTTCTAATATCTCAAGTTATAAGCTGTTCTCCACAGAAAGAAAGGTAGGTGTTTGAAGTTAGAAAACCATGATTTTCCCCATTACAAATGTTTTCCACTCAAAAACTGAAATATTTCACATTGGGGAAACGTCATGAAAACGTTCTCTATGTTTCTGTACAAATTGTTTTCGTTGTTGCAAGTAGAACTGTATAGGAGAAATTTCACCCTGAGCTGAATTTGAAAATTCCTTGAAATTTTATGACATTCTCAATTCTCTAGTGTGAGAATTAGCAAAGTGTGTTAATTGAAATGGATAGTCTTGTACGGCGCTAGTCCATGGAATGCATAAAATCACAGGGGAGGACTGAACACAATTTATATCCAGTGCATTCAACAATTGTACTGTGATATGTTGATGCTAGTTATTCTGTGTGTGTGTGTGTACACACACACACAAATAGTAGTTTCTAAAGTTACCAAACTCTTTAAGATAAACTTGAACTAAAGATTCTGACCCATGGCTTAGGAAAGCTCCATTTTTGAGACTCCATCACTGTCCTCCAGCTCCCTCCAAACATGTTTCCCCTGTGCATATGCATCATTGCAATCACAATACTGTTCACCCAGCTGGGAAGGCCAACAATCTGCTGCCTTTGGGGCTGTCTGCCAAGGATGGTCTGTGGAGCAGACAGCAGGGAGTGCTGATAGTGCAAAATGGTCCGCTCCCTCCCTTCTGCCTCTCTTCTTGCCTCCTTTCACTCTTCTTGGAATTGAAACACAAAAGAAAATTCCACTTTTCAAGACTGTTCAGTTTACATTTGGTTGCAAAGTGTTTTCAACTGAACAGTCACTTTCTGTGCAGGCAGTGACAGCTCAATCGGGGGGTAAGGTTTTCTTTCAGCCCTTGTCATGTTAGGCCATGTCAAATTAGACATTTGAGACTTTTTGTTTTTGTTTTGCATCATGGGCTAAGATGCCAAATATTAGGAAACAAACTAAATGTTTGCATCTCTTCACAGCTTGAATGATCCCATAGCTTGCCAGTGTTCTTGTTCATTATAGATTTGTGGAGCACATTTTTCTTCATTCATGGACCTCTTAAGTCCCATATTTCTGAGGAGTCCTCCATTCTTAAGTATTTATCTAGACCAAAGGCATATTCTAAGGGGTTTACTAAGCTGTTACCCTTACAAATCAGTGACTTAGGCTATGAAGTTGATTGAAGTAGCGTACTCAAATTTCAGGATGTCCCTTCTTTTCATTTTAGGTTGCTATTACTTCATTCCCTCTTTAGTGTACTTGCTACGTTATGGCACTAATTGAACTATGGATAAAAATTTGCACAGCTGGTGAATTTCTTGGGAGGGAAATCAAGGTTTGGATGATTACATGAAACAAGAAATATCTTGGTATTTCACCCTTGAGGTTTTCACTTTTTTCCCCACAAAAAAACCAAAAAAACAAAAAACCCCAAATGCATTTTTTTTCCAGACTTCCTCATCAAATGATTTCAGAGACTTCTAAACACTAGTTCTGTGACAGAAAAGGCCAGCAACCTCTCCTGCCATTAAGACCTAGATCCTGCAAATGCTTAAGCATGCAGTCTTTTGTCATAAGAATAAGTTTCAGAGTAGCAGCCGTGTTAGTCTGTATCCGCAAAAAGTACAGGAGTACTTGTGGCACCTTAGAGACTAACAAATTTATTAGAGCATAAGCTTTCGTGGGCTACAGGCTGTAGCCCATGAAAGCTTATGCTCTATAAATTTGTTAGTCTCTAAGGTGCCACAAGTACTCCTGTTCTTTTTGTCATAAGAATGACATTCACAACACTTGGTCCTCCCTTCTACCCCTTCCAGTCCCCCCGCCAAAGGAAATTAATAAACTCTTAAAAAACAAAATAACAAAAACCTACCCCATGACCCTAAGAAGTGCCAGACTTCAGAAAGGTCCTAAGACCATCACTCTTGTTGTTGATTTTAGGTGGAAGACATTCAGATACTACAGAGATAGGCAGTATAAAACCCCAAAATAGATAGACTTACTTCACTTTAAGCATATGAGTATATTCCATTAACTTCAATTGACTGTCAGTGGGACTTTAGCTAACTTGCATGTTCATTGAAGGGCAATGCAATGTCTCTAAGTATTCAAAAATGTGAAGTTCATATTATTAGGTTAGTAAGCACTGAAGATTTGCAATGAGGTGTGAAGCCACTTTGGGGCTTCCTAAGTTATGCACAGTTCACTTTGGAGTGTACCCAGTAGGAGAATCCCCAGTGTGCCCTGCATTTCACTGCAACAGCATTCTGGCAGTTCAGTAGGCTCCCTGTTAGACCTTTCAAATACAGCAAGGATCTTCAAAGATCCTATGAAGAGAGAGAGAGAGAGAGAGATGGGCGCACCTGATGAGGGCCAGGGGAGCCTGTTCTGGTTGTGGGGAGAGAAGGAGGGAGTCAAGGAGAGGAAGCCCTGGAATGCAGCACAAGGGTCCTGTTTGAGGTTGCAGGTTGGAAGGGAGCCTATGAGGGTTGCGAGAGATGGAGCTGTTGAATGAGAGGATCAGAAGGCAGAGCCCCTTATACAAATGTTCCTGGAGTTTCAAAAAAGGTTTGTTTGGGGTAGAAAGGTGAAGCTCAGATCAGTTCTTGCTTAACCAAACTGGTTTATCTATCTCTTTGTCTGTCTGTCCGTCTCTCTTTCTTCCTCCACTGCCCCCAGGAGCCTGTAATCCTCCCATTCACTGCAAGTTCTAGGGCTAGTACTAAACCAGAGTGGATCAGCCTAGATTTCCGAGGTACATGTGCACAACACATTGTCTCCTTCAGAAACTTAAATACACAGTTCTGTCCATTGAAAAATGCAGAAAATTGGCAAGTACGATCATTCTTCAAGTCCTAGAATACAATGGTCACCTTATTTGCTTTCAGGGGCTACTTACAGTCATATGATTTTTGCACTTTCGAAGTTGCTATTATGCTAAAAGTCATATTACCTATTGAAAAGTGACTGAGTGAGAGGTGGCTGGTGGGGAGGCAAGGAAGCTTGGGAGGGATCTGAAAAGTGTCCCTCCTACTCCTCTACCAGGAGGACCATGGTCATGACATAAAACCTTATAGTTGAAAAGTTTTAAAGCTAGAGAAAAAGGGAGATAGAAGTCTTCAGGGACCTTCCCTCAGAAGGGAAATGCAAATAAACTCTAGAAAATTTAAATCCCACCCAAAGAGTGGTTAGCATGCTGACCATTAACATTGTGGACATTTTTCTAGGTGGATACTGATGGAGATGGATACTTGAACTGCCTGCAAGTTTTGATGGCTCTGAAAGAAACTGTCCCTTCAGATGCACTAACTGATGCTGAAGAACTTTATGTATATAGGGTAATCAGATCCAACACAGTCTCTCTGTTTATGCTTTGAATGATCTGGGAGTAGGGAGCAAATGTGTCAGATATGCATACCATCCCTATTCTTCATGCAAACTTTATGCATCTATAACACATCCCATCCAAGGATCTCAAAACAAGCTCTGCCTCATAACATCCGTGTGAGGTAGGTAATCTGGATAATACTCACTTTACCGATGGGGAAGCTGCACAGAGATGTGAAGGCCAAAAAATGCCCTTTAATTCTAAGAGCCTCTCTAACCCACTTGATGGCCTAATGGGCTCTCACAAGGGCATACCTACCGCAAAATGTGTGGGTTTTTTAATGTTCCGTGGTTATCTTGTGCTACCCTTGGTTTAAACTTATGTTATCATCATTGAAGCCTACCACCGTAGTTTCTGACCACAAATCAGTCAACTCCTTCCTGGGACACTAATGGCCAACAACATAGCACAAGAATGAATGAGCATGTAAGAAGTGATGATAGGATAGTCCTTTCCGTCTTGTTTTGTACCACAGTAGTAGCAGGGATGAAAGACCTGCAAAGCCCAAGTAAGCCAGAAAACATTAGGGTTAGATGGGGGTGGGCTCCAGACCTAGTTAAGAAATGGTGGGCAGGAAGCCACCCATGAAAGTTTGATTTTTTTTTTTAAATGTAGAAGTAATCCTTTTCAAATTGATTCACATAACTTTGGTTGTGCAGGTGTGAACAGAGCCAAGAGGAAGCACGAAAGCTGCTCAGAGGCTAAGTTTTGCCCTTGCATAGATGGGGGTTTTTTTAATTGGTGGCTTACATTTTCAACGGTGACTAATGATTGGGGTGCCTAATTTGAGACAACATTTTTGGATGTTGAGACTTAGATAAAGGGGACTGGTTTTCATAAAGAGCCAAGCTAAGGTGTTTCTAGCTGGGCACCCAAAATCATTAGTCACTGTTGAAAATGTAGGCCTTTATCTGAACTTTGGACCAAAACATACACATTAGTCCCCAAGCACAACCATTGGTTACTTTGTATTTTTTTAAAGGCACAGATATTAAATAACTTATTACTTTAATTTTGCTTAAATGTTCATTTTTATAGCATGCTATGTAAGAATTATGGTACAGTATGAAAGTCTGTTGATGTCCAACATATAAACATTCAGTTTTGCTTTCCTTCAAAAAGCAGACTCAGTGATCCAGTCCTTAGCTGTGCCAGCTTACCCCAGTTGAGACTCAGGCCCTCCGTTGTTTGCCTTTTTGCAGTCTTTCTATCATGATCTTGTTTGAAACATACAAACTCATTTGACAAAGAGCATAAACTTGGTTAACAGAAAACCGGTACCAGGAAACACAGAAATAAAGAAAAGTATAAAATCCTCTATGATTTAATCTGAACCTTACAAAGGCTTTGTTTCTTTGGACACTTTCTTTGAAAAGACTACCACTTCAAACAAAAACAGAGGGAAATTAGTAGGAAGTGATTATGGAGACAGGAAATCTGAAAGCCATGAAACTGTAAATAAAGTGTTATTTGTACTACTGTATTTGGTTCCCTGCTTTACATTCTCAGCACGAAATGTTAGATAAGACTTTAACACTAGAGCAGGGGACGAATTTATATGATAAAAAGAGGAAAGCCATTTAGATAAATTACAGTGGCCTTGGATTGATCTGAACACATTTTTAGCTAAAACTTGGAACTCCCCAGCCAGGTCCAGTTGCAATTTGTTCATGGTGGCAAATGATGTGAATTGTTCAGACATCAAACACATATCAAATGGCTTCATTTTAGTATTCCAAAGCAATGGCCCCATGGCAGACGCCAATGCTAACATCATTATACAACTCATATTGCATGATGACAATCCAGTTCGGTGATGCCTACATTTATTGTTTACTTTTATTGAATCTAGAAAGCTCATCTTTTCCATCTGTCAGCATTATTGTGCGTGATCCACAAATAAATCTAAAAAGGCTGCATTACACTATACACTCAGACCTTATTTAATGAGTGGCCTTCTTTTATAGCAATAATAAAAATGAGTACAGACTTTAAGTACTTCCATTATACCATGTTTGCTTTGTCAGTGGTTTCTATTTTATGAAAAGTTAAACCGCAAAGTTAGCCCAGCAATTTTTGTTGTTTGTGCATGTGCCTTCAGTAAACATCCCTTTTTTCCTCCCTCAGTGTTCATGCATTTTGTTCCCTGTTAACATTAAACATCATTTGCAAAGCTAAGACAGAAGATAAGAGCCAGGTACCTGAGCAGGACTATATGTACTGTGCCAACATTTTGTAAAAGACCAGCTTTGCACAATAGGAACATTAAAGGAATACTTTATTATTCGTGGGTTTTGTTGTGAAAGGCTAAAAAGGGAGGATCCAGGAATAAGTCTTTCGGTAGCATTCAGTGCCTGAAATACAAAGACAATTGGAAAACACACACATACACACACCAACAACCCTCCTCCCCTAGTTTCATGTGATAGATATTTAGATCACAGCCACAAGTTTCTAGATAGAAATTATGCATTCAGAGTGCGGAACAGTCAAAGGAGCCTTGTAATTGGAGAGAGCATAATAGTTCTTATTGCTTTAAGGTGCTTTGTACAAAAGATTACCTGTGGGTTCTCGCTAGGCACATGTGTTATAAGACTGTTGTCCTTAGTGAAAGCTATACTATCCAAAGCGGGACAGAGAAGTAGGTGTGGTTTGTTTATTCTTTACAACCTAATTTTGATTAGGATGTGAGCAAACACAGGAGTGGATTCAACTTCCACTGTCCTTTCCCCTCCATGCTACAAGGCTTTAGAGGCAAAAGTTGGCTCTTTATATAGATTTTTGGGGGGGAATTCTGTACAGTCTGGTTGCAAATTTTGTTATGTTGCAATGTTTCAAAGTAGCTACTTCCATGATGTCAGTACAGTCGACGCAGCTAGCTTGTGTTTATATTTATGGGGAGTTCTGCAACAGTAGGGTTTTGGAGCAAATAGAAGACAACATGAGCAGAGGGGAGAGAGGACAAAGGAAGCCCATTTCAATATAATATAAATAAATCATGAATAGTTCTCCCTATTATTATGCTTGTGTTACAGCAATGCCCTAAGAGATGGTTAACACAGTAATAACTTGCTTTGAGAGTATTTAGCTGAGGATGCCGTTACTGCTGTTTAAAATGTGGGCATGTTGCAAACATGTGGTATCATAGGCATACCTGAAAAATATTCTAAAATTTTGCTTGATGAATACGCTTTACATAACTTTTTGGTTTTAGTTTGTTGTTAGGGAGAGGAAGTCACACTGACTTTCCAGTTGTGTGGCAGAGAGTGTTTGTGCATTAGGTAGAAGGTTTCTGTGTGGTCTTCTATACACTGTTTTAGAGTGAATTCTCTTAAAACACATACCTCTCTGGTGTACGTATGTGCAGGTGACTCTATGTGAATCAGGTCCATAATGTTTTGAGGGGATCCTACAGACCTACAATGCAATGTAGAGTTTAACAGGCTTGTTGTCAGGTTTCTTGCTGAAATTGCTTTGTTTGTTTCGCTGGCTATGTTAATAAATCTTGTCTCTGCTTCGATCAGATCCTATTTATTTATTTATTTATTTATTTATGGTAAGCAAGGCGCAATCTGTTCTTTCTAAACCCTTCATCATCTTTGCTTTCTCCATCTCTGTTTCCCCAGATCTTAGAGATTGTTGACTATTATGTAACAGATGGCCTGACAGACCTCCGACTCTTCGCAGTGATGGCTAGCTTGGCACAGAAAATAACAGCACTGGAGTAAGTATTCAGAGGCAAAGATGCTCATGAATTTTAACTCCTCACTGACAAAGGAATTTGAGGGGGCGAGAGCTGATCTATCAGTAGCTGAAGTAATTAAAGACTTAGATTGCTCTCTAGTGCAGAGTATCCCATCACTATTACAGGCTGTTGATATTAGATTAGGCTAGGCCATGTCCCATTTGATCTCTAAACTATAACTTCACATCAAAACAATGGGACAGCTTAATCCAGAAATTGATACATTCCAGCAAGCATCAGACGATGCTGTTTGTGTGGCTTTTAATAAAAAGTATACTGCGACATCAAGCCAAGACAATACATGGGAGAGCAATGCAAATATTGTGACAGAGTTCAGTTTTGACTGTCATTTGTAGTCCATTTCCAGTTACTGGAACAAGCTTTTCAAAAGCACCTAATTGACTTAAAAGCAGAAGTCCCACTGAAAGTCAAAGGGACTTGTTCTTAAGAAGTGGGCTGTAGTCCACGAAAGCTTATGCTCTTATACATTTGTTAGTCTCTAAGGTGCCACAAGTACTCCTGTTCTTTTTGTTCTTCTAAATCACTCAGGCAATTTTGCAGATCCCACCGCTAGCCCTTAAAGTGTATGAAGATGTCCAGATGAGTGGCTCATTTTTCATAAGTGCTGAAAAGTTCCTAGCAGCTCCCTCTGACTGCACTGGGAGTTGCTGAGTGCTCGACATTTTTGTATTCTGGGCCACTTTTTCAGACCTCTGAATATTTATATAGGAGCAGAACTTTAAGCCTCTTGGGGGAAAAAAAGAAAGAAAGAAACACACACAGGCACTTTCTTTTTCCATGTGTGAAATGTCTCAGGGAACTCTGCTGCTGCTGTTAAAGTATGAGTCAAGTAACAGAGGGCAGTTCTATGCGCACACATAGAATCATAGAATATCATCTGCACTAGGCCGTACTTCAGACCCAATTTACAGGCCTAGAAAACAGGCAGTGTAGTGGCCTATGTGTACTGTCTGTAATTCTCCCCTTAAGGGTTCTCTAGTTCCCATGCCCC